CGTGCGGTCATGGGTTGTGCCCATATAGCTGCCGCATAGAGTGCCACCTTCTCAGCTACAGTTTTATAGAGTACCTTTTGAATGTGGGGATTCCGTCCCCAGTTCCGGCCTTGGAATTGTCGTGATCTCCTGGCAATTGCAGATGTTTTAATCTTTTGTGCCTGGATATGCGGAAGCCAAGTCAGACCTGGGTCCCATATTACCCCAAGGTATCTTAAAGTTTTTACGACCTTAATATTACGGCCTTGTAGTTTGATACATGGGCTACGTGTTGGATTTGTACCCTTTCTTGGAAAGATGATAGCAGTGGACTTTGTGGTGGATATTTCGAGTTTTAGCTCTTCGCAGAGGTTGGCAAATATAGTGCATGACTCACTGCCATGGGCTTCAAGCTCAGCGCGTGTGCGGCCTCTGACCAGTAATGCCGCGTCGTCCACGTATGCAACTAACACAGTATGTTGTGGCCACCTTGCCTCTAAGACTTTATTAAAGGTGAGGTTCCATAGCAGAGGCCCTGCACAGGACCCCTGTGGACATCCTCTCACTTGTGTTATTGAAAGAGTACTACTGTTGTTAGAGATCATCAGTTGCCGGTCTGCCAGATAGTTGTCCAGAACTTGATAGATATTTCTTGGGCATCTTGCCTCTCTGAGGGCCTATTTGGCTCAACAACTGCGAAAGCAAACTTATCTGGACGCCGTCCTGCGTTACCCTCCAGACTGTGTCCGGTTAGAAGATCGACATCGACGGAAAAGTGAACGTTAACATCACGTTTGGAAGTGCCGCTTACCATCACACGGCATATGTAGCAGAGATCACAGATTCCTTGCATACTCGGATTAGACTTTCTAAGGAAATATAATTTTTCCTTGGACTTTAAAAATAACGAATTGCATTCTACATCTGAGGACATAGCCCTTATTCGGAATTAATGATGAAGAAGTTAAATCTATCCACAAAATTATAGCTCAAGACGATATCACAATACCCGCAAGAACAGAAATTTTACTTCCTGGATCCTATAGCCGAAAACAGAAATTTCCGCTACGGCATCATAGAATATCCCAATAACTGTAATAGCCCAAAAGGAGTACTAGTAGCCTCAACACTCGTCGACCTTATCGAGAACGGTTATCCCGGTGAGAGTCACCAATGTAACTGAGAAGGCGAGAGTTATTAAGAAAGGTGAAGTGGTTGCAGCATGTACTCCAGTAACCAGCGTTGAAAGAAAGAGCAACATCCAAGAAGCCGTGTCCTCAGAGAGCATTACATCAGGAGTTATTGCAGAATGCGCAATTAAACCATGAAGAGAAGAATGCTGCCGATCGCGTCATTAAAGATCTTCAAGTTGTTTTCTCCCGCTCGTCTTCTGACGTGGGTCGAACTAGTTTGACACAACATAGAATCGATACCGGCGATCATCCCCCGATCAAGCAACATCCAAGACGTTTTACCGTTTGCTAAACAGGAAGAGGTACGAACACTTTTAAAAGGATATGGAAGAAGGCGATGTCATCGAGCCTTCAGCAAGTCCATGGGCATCTCCCATCGTCCTAGTCAGAAAGAAAGACGGCTGAACAACAAGATTTTGCGTCGACTATCGCCGGTTGAATGAGGTTACGAAGAAAGACAGTTACCCTCTTCCTAGAATTGACGACATTCTAGGACACTCTTTCTGGAAGCAAGTGGTTCTCAACACTTGATTTAAAGAGTGGGTATTGGCAGGTAGAAATACATCCCTGATGACCAAGAAAAGACGGCATTTACTACGGGACAAGGGCTTTGGCAATTCAAGGTGATGCCGTTTGGACTGTGTAATGCGCCGGCAACATTCGAACGTCTTATGGAAGACTGTTTTGAAACGGCCTTTCCTACGAAGCTTGCTGATATACCTGGACGACATCATCATCGTCGGAAAGAGTTTTGAAGAACATTAGAAAATTTTAGGAAGTGCTTCAGAAACTGAAAGAAGCCAATCTTAAGCTGAGTCCCGCTAAATGCAAATTATTCCGAAGTCAAAGCGAGGGCTATCTGCCTAAGGGGAGGGATGCCTTCGTGGAGGACTTTCTAAGGGAAACTGGCTCGTATACACGTTACACATGGGGAAAACCACGAAAACACCCATGCAGCCAGCCCGTTCGCGGGATTCGAACCTCGGACCGAACTACCAGTGTTCAGCGAAGCTTAACAAAGAACACGAATCCTGAAAAGGTGTCAGCGGTTAAATCCTGGAACGTCCGAAAATGTCCATCAGCTGAGAAGCTTCCTAGGGCTTTGCACCTACTATAGGAGATTCGTGAAGGACTTTTCTTCCATCGCAAGACCCCTTCACAAGCTGACAGAGAGCAAGCAAACGTTCTTGTGGACAAAAGGAATGCGAGGATGCATTTAACAACTTAAAGGAAACTTTAACACCTGCTCCAACCCTCATGTATCCTCAGCTTGATAAACCATTCATTCTTAACACGGATGCGAGCAATGAGATGGTCGGTGCAGTTTTATCCCAAGAAATAAGAAACGTGGCCAAGAACGTTGTAGGCTAAGAACGTGTAGTAGCTTACTGGAGCAAGTGTCAAAACCCGAGAGGACTTACTGTGTCACCAGGAAAGACTTGCTCGCCATAGTTAAAAGCCGTAGATCATTTTCACCATCATCTCTATGGCAGAAAATTCCTCCTCCGCACGGACCATGCATCATTGGCCTGGCTTTTAAATTTCAAGAATCCTGAGGGTCAAATAGCCAGGTGGATACAGAGACTCCAAGAATATGACATCACTATCCATCAATCGTAAGGGTTCATCACATGTAAAGGCCGACGCCCTGTCTAGAAGACCCTGCCCAGAAAGCTGCCGATATTGTTCCAGGGTGGAAGCGAAATACGAGCTGCTGAACTCCGGTCGCAAGACAAATTACAACATCAACATCGGCTGATCGAGAACCCGTGGAGTGATGATGAAGTCAGGAAAGACCAGCTGGAAGACCGCGACATTAAACCCATAATTGATTTAATGGAGTCATCAAACAGAAAACCTACCTGGCAGGACATTTCTATCTGTAGTCCTACAACAAAACAATACTGGGCACTCTGGGATTCACTTCACATTCGAAACGGCGTCTTATACCGGAAATTCGAATCGGATGATGGGAAGACGTTTCCGATGGCAACTGATACTTCCAAGATCCCGGATTCCCGCATTTCTGATGTCCTTAAAGAACTACATAACAGCCCTACGGGAAGTCACTTTGGAATAATGAAGACCTTACAGAGAGTTCGTGAGCGCTTTTACTGGAATAATGCAAAGGATGACGTGCAAAAGTGGTGCCTTTCTCGTGATGCCTGTGCAGGTAGAAAAGGACCGAGAAAACGCAGCCGAGGCAAGCTGCAACGTTACAACGTAGGTGCGCCTTTTGAACGTATCGCTTTTGACATCTTAGGACCTCTGCCACGAACTGATGATGCCAACAAATACATACTCGCTGTCATTGATTACTTCACCAAGTGGCCTGAAGCGTATTCTATTCCTGATCAAGAGGCTGTCACAGTAGCTGAGGTGATGATACAGCACTGGATTTCCAGGTTCGGAGTGCCTCTTCAGTTACATTCAGATCAGGGAAGGAATTTTACCTCGGCAGTAATTAAAGAACTATGCAAACTACTCGGCATTGACAAAACCCAAACGACGCCATTACATCCCCAGTCGGACGGCATGGTAGAGAGGTTCAATCGAACCATCCTTAATAACCTCTCATTAGTGGTTTCCAGAAATCAACAGGATTGGAACAAGAAAATTACCACTGTTTTTACTGCCTTACCGCAGTGCTGCGCCCGAGACTACCGGCTATTCCCCATCACAGATGCTCTTCGGTCGTGAACTTCTTCTGCCTTGTGACCTCTTGTTTGGTCACCCTTCGCATGCTCCTTCATCGCCTGAGGAATATATTCAAGATCTCCAGGCCCGGTTTGAAGTGATGCACAACTTTGCACGAGAGCGAGTCAACTTGGCGACGGAGAAGATGAAGACCCGATACGACACAAGAGCTACTGAACATCAATTCCACGAAGGAGACAAGGTGTGGTTGTGGAATCCGACTCGACGGAAAGGACTTTGTCCGAAATTACAGTCACCTTGGGATGGTCCCGTACACGGTCCTAAACAGGCTGAATGACGACGTGGTTCGGATCCGTAAGTCTTTGAACTCTAAACCTAAAGTCGTTCATTACGACAGGTTAGCTCATTACTATGGCCATAGTACGTAATGTAAATAATTGTAAATAGTGTAAGACCATGGTCCTTTTTGTTTCAAAATGTGTATTTAGTATTTGATTTGTGTTTTGCATTTGATTTGTATTTTGTATTTGATTTGTATTTGATAGCATTTGATTTGTTTTATTTATTGCATTTATTGTTCATGTTGTTTGATACTGTAATGTAATGTTTATGCCTCAGTTGTAAGTTTGGCTTCCTGTCCAGGGATTGTACTGCCCGGGACGTGCAGTCCTTGTGAAGGGGGCAGTGTTACGAATTTGGTATTTAAAAAGCTAATGTTAGTTCAATTATAAATTAAATGGTTTTATTTCTCGCGCAGTGCAGCGCGTGACGAATATTAAAAGAAAGCTAAGCCGGAAAATTGAAAATACAAGAGCGCGTGCATTAATAATAAATTTTTGTTCCTTTTTCATCGGACTTGTGCATTCATTTCGTAACGAACCCGTACGCACGAAACATTATTTTTGATCGAATAAGCTTTCTCTGGCTTGCTTTGCGTTCTATTTAACGTTTTTGTAGTTTAAAGTATAAATAATGATTATTACTGCATGATATTGTGAACACTTGTACAAATATTTCTGAGAAAACTTCCAGCATTCTGTTATATTTCTCTTTATTAGAATAAATTTTATTAACCTTTTATCGGACTTGTGATTTCAGTCAGCTACGAACCCGTACGCGCGCAACAATTTTTTATGTCAGAAGTGGGATTGAATGCCAATAACAACAGCGATGGAGGAGCAGTTAAGACAGCTGACGGCAGCCTTTTTTGCATTTAAAGAAGAGATGAAAGATTATGTTAAAGAGGAGATGAGTGCTAGCCAAATATCTGTTAAAGCAGAAATGAATGTGGTTCATGGAAAGGTGGAAGCTGGTTCAGAAGAGATGGAAAAATCCGTTAAAGGAAAGATTAAAGCAGGTCAATAAGAAAAAAAAATTACCTGCATAAAAGAAAACAAATTTGAAACTATGGAACTATGGAAGGCAGAATAGACGCTCTTGAAAATAACGTTGGACACCTTGAAGAAAGAGTTTCTTCTGTGAACGAACAAATAGAAGAGTTTCTGCTGTGTAGCAACGAAGGGTAGGAACAGTTTCGGCCGTCCAACAACAAATCGAATAACAAATTGAAGAAAGAGTTTCTGCCGTCCAAGAATATCTCGAATAAAACATTGGAGAAAGAGTTTCTGCCCTCCAAGGACATATAGAACAACAAATTGCAGACAGAGTTTCTACTCTCGTCACCAAAGAAGTTGACAAACTAAAGAAATACATATCGACGACAGAAAGCAATTCTGACGGCTTTAAATTTTTGCTAGGGCCTGCTCGTTCATATATGAAGTTATCCACATATGCCGAGAACACCTCTTCGCAAGTGCATAAGACACAATTTTCTATAGTGCCGGATGTGAATGGATGAGATTCCCTAGCTAAGACCTGTCATCTCGCCGCTTCTCTGAGAGCAGACGCTGCAGATATCCTTCAGACTCTCTCGGAAAACCAAAGGCTAGATTTCGAAGCTTTATCCGGCGCTTTGGCGAGAAATGTGTAAAATAATACAAGAGGCTACAATTAAAATATCGTTCAACAGAAGCCCACGGAAACACTCAACTAACTTGCCACGGATGTTGAAAGGCTGTTTCACCTCGGCGTTTCGGAGTGCCCGACAGAAACAAGGGAAATCCTGTCCGTGCAATACTTCATCGACGGCATCCGGGATCCTGAAACGCAGAAAGAATTGCTACGAATGGCGGATGTAAAGGACTTAAAAAGCGTTCTAATGTGGGCCATGAAATTTGATGCAGTCCAGCAAGCAACTCATGGAGTCCGACACCCAGTTCACATCTGTGCAAGTCCACGAGGTAGTCACTCAAGTGATGGTTCGTTTAGATGATTTATCCAGACAAATCAATTCTTCGATGCGGAGTAGGAGTAAGAACAAACAAGTTCTAAAGTGTTGGACATGTGGTACTGAAGGCCACGTACGACGGAAGTGCAGAACAAGGGCACGGAAAATAAAACAAATGGCTTAACCAGACAAGTCAGTGCCTTGAGACGGAATAGAAATGAAATGAAACCCACCCTAAAGTTCTGTTACTGCAGTGCTGAAGGCCATGTACGGAGGAACTGCAGAACACCCCCAAGGCACGAAAATAAGACCATACCCCAGCGACGACGCGAGAAACAAATTAATGGCCATATCGCAATTTCGAGGAAAACGAGAAGCCCCATTTCAAAGCGCTTCACATTTCTGCAGTGAGTGGCGACAATATTTTCTTGCAGTATGTAACTATTGTCAATGGAGTTCCTTCCAATATGGTTAATGATACAGAAGCGAATGTTACTATCATTCGGAATCTGATGGTAAAACCGACATAGATGGGAAGTCAGATGTAAACATCTTTAAAAACCCTGCTCAGAAAGCTGCCGATAACATGCTATGAACACGAGAAAATACGAGCTGCTGAGATCGGTCGCTCGACACATTTTAACGTCAACATCGGCGGATCGAGAACCATGGAGTGACAAAAAAGTTAGAAATACCAGCTTTGAGGATGGCGACATTAAGCCCATTATTAATTTCAAACAGAAAACATACCTGGCAGGACATTTCGATCTGTGGTCCGACGGAAGAAAGTCTATGTAAAGAAGGAAAGGCTACATAGGCGTAATGTAAACCAGTTTGTCTTCTACGCCGCTAGAAAGAAGAGGGACAATTCGCCAAGGGATTTGGCGACGGAAAACTCTTGGCGAGAATTTCGGAGACTTTCCACCTCCGCCACGTGTACAGGAAGTTGAGGAACACGGGTTAAGATGAATCGTTCTTTGACTTTTCGAGATAATTTAAACTCGAATTTTCGTGCATTTTTGCTTTACTAGTTGAACTTATATTATCCATATCGCAGTTTGATGTCTGATTTTATTTTATATCTGCCAATATGTAGGGGAAAAAATGGAGTCACACGGCTTTAAAATCTTGATAAAACGTGACCATCGAACCTGTTCGAACTTCGACATCAGCTTCGAGCTTTGGCGCTTTTTGGCGACAGATATTTCACTAATGCGCAGTTGTGCTCCTTTTCGTTCGGAGGGAGCCACTCCTGCTGCTGCGAAGCTTTCCTTCTTAACAATATATATGCTTTGGTCCAACGACAAAACAATCCTGGGCTCTCTAGGACTCACTTCACATTGTAAATAGTATCTTAAACCGGAATTTCGAGTCAAATGGTGGAAAAGTAATCTTCACTTTCGCCGTCTTTCTCGGAGATTTCCAGCCTTCGTTTGTAGTTTGGGGTGGAGTCTTACTTTTACTAGCGGTGATTAGACAGTTATAAATTCTTCAGATTTCTTCCGTTCTTCTGGGTCTCATAAAATATCTTCGTTTTCTTTCAGAAACTTAATTTATCGTTCTTTATCCATTTTTGCCCTTACCTGAACTTCTTCCGACCTGCTTAGTTCTTTGAGTTCTTTGAGTTTGAGCTTAGTTCAGTGGGTCTTTCGTAACTTCCTCTGCTAGTGGGTTTTTGCTTTTCTTAGCTTTACGTTTAGGAGATTTCATAAAGTCTGATATCTTTAATGGTAGGGATTTTGCCGATATCCGGGATCTATCCGAGTCCATTCCTTCATCATCAGTTGAGTCAGCCGGTGTCCTGTATAAGGACATTTTATTGTACCCGCGGGTACCTTAGAGAAACGCAATAAATATTAGAACACTTCACTGCCTGCCTACTGGACTGGGGCAGCTACCGCACGAGATATGAGATGAATGAATAATCCGAATTCGAGACAAGCGTCTACGGAGAGAAGGCAACTTTTGGGATCATGATCTGATTCTCCCGTCTTATGCGCATCATATGACGTTTTCAGATACCTCAAAAATTTGTTTACAATTTGCATTATTTGACTTTGTGCATCTTAACATGTGAATTTTGCTTTCACATATTTATTATGAGTGAAGAATCTTTCAATAAAGGCCCTTCTCACATCCAAATATTTAGGAATATTCTGAGGATTATGAGCGGTTGCTTCAGAATATTAGAATATATAACATCAATTTAAATGAGCTGGATGAGGATACTCATGATCATTCAGACGATGGATCTGAAATTCACAGTTCCGCTTTGATTACGAGTGGTAACATGTTTCAGAAAACTGTAATTTCAAAATCTTTCTACAGTTCTATTTGCAAAAAGCGTTTTTCAAATGCCAGCAATTTATAGCAGCATTTGAAGAACATACATTCCAATAAAGAGCATATTTCTACTACTGAAATCTCTAATTCCAGTTCATATCATGCATTTTATAAAGTTGTCAGTGGTAATTCGATTTCAGATATTTTTCCTTCAGAATCCAGTATAATTTCAAAAACCTTTTAGCTGCCCTGATTGCTGAAAATGTTTCTCTAACAGCAATCGAAAATGCCACTGCATGAAATTGCATATGTCACAACAAACAACATTACTTAAAGCCAGTAAAAGTAAAGTTTTCGAATTTAAATGCAGTTTATGTAGTCAATTCAACAATAATAAAAATATTTACTATTTTCACAAGCACATAGTGCATTTATTGCCCTTGAGTGTTCATTATAAAAAATTATATAAATGCCAATTATGTAATAAATGTTTCCCACAGGAAAATTTTTCATTATATTTGCAAATGGAACATGAAATATCCATTGAAAAAGAAGAGAGAGAATTCTCTGTGTTTAATTATGTGAAAGGAGAATTTTGAAATGGAAACGTGATCTAATTTTTTTTTTAATTTACAAAGGAATATGACCAATTACATGTAAAAGATATTTATTTTATATGCCATCATTCAGGACATTATATATCTAAAGAGCAAGGTATACGACATTTAAAAATACAAGTGAGTAACAAAATTAATGCTTATTTCCCAGACTCTATAAAAGTAAGCCAGTTTAATAACGGGAAATGTACTGCTTATTTCGAAAAATTCACATAGGTCATAAAAAGGGTATAGGGCATCTGTTTCTTACAAACTTAGAACGACAGAATTGCCTTTGTAATTTTAATTTATGTAACCTGCTGGAAAAGTGTTTTTTGATGCAATTTTAGATAAAATTTGACATTCTGCATCTGATACTGGGCTTGAGAGAGAGAGAGAGAGGGAGTGCTTCTTTTGACAAAGAATCATTTACGGAATAATTGAAAATTCGGTACTCTTCTGCTATCAGAGCCACATTCAGAAATTTAGAAGGTCAGAACAGGGTTTTGAACCTTTATCTCAGGTCCTCGTGATACGCTGATGTATTTTGTGATTAATGAGTAAGTCCATTTTTGTTCATCCTCCCTGCATTACTGTCTTCCTTCCCCCCCAAATCCAAAAATACCAAATATTGTCCATACAATCAATCATTCATTGACTTTTGTACTGCTCAGTCAATAAATTATTACCAAACGTTTTAATGTAGATAAATATATTTTGGTGAAACTGAGTCAATCCCAAATTTGAACAGTAAGCAATATTTTTTACTATTTAATACTTGCTATTTAATATTTGTCAAGTTTTTTTATTTTCTAATTATTCAACCCCATGTACATTCACATGTTGTGCACTGGCCATTTTATTATGTGTAGAATTGTTTAAAACTAACTGAACATTGTAACAATCTCATCACAGTTTTGTTGAATTGCCACATGCTGCTACATTTTTATTTTGGGGTTTTAATTATTAATAACATTAAATAATAGAAACCTTAAGTTTTTTTTAATACTAACTAGCTTTACATACCTGGTGTGTACCTTTAATAAGGCTTACTTGTACATTATGTAAACTTGTATTTTATGCCAATCAGGTCCCCCTCCCCACACATGTTGATGTCAGCATTTATTCGTATTCCTTACATTTTACAGCAATAATTCATAAGTTTGTCTTATGGATATCTGAGGTATGAAGGAATATGTGAAGTACATGTTTCCCCCTCCCCCTCTTCGGGGCCGAATTTTGAAAACGTTTGAAATTGGTTTTTAGGTTTTCATATTCCATACATATTAAAGCAAGAATCTTATGTACATCTGTTTCTTCCTTATATGAAAAAAACATAAAAATACGCTTTGCCCGACGAATCTTAAAAAATCGCTTCTCAAATGACATCTTCGGTACAAAAGGAATAAGCTCCAAGTTTTGATATCTGTATCTCTAATAGCTTTGGGCGATGACCTGTAGGTGAATAAATGAATAAATCAGGAATTCTTCCTTTATGTATAAATTTATAATAAAACATCTGAACAAATAAATGTGTATACCAATTAAAAAGAAAACTATTTCAGAAAAACTAATAAAAGAACTTAATTTACATTCAGTAATGCGCACCAAGTTCGTAACGTGCTAAACGAGTTGCGTTTTAAAAAAATCGGCTTTGACCCATGGAGGTCCATGCTTTGACCACGCCGAGCTCCAAATACGCTGCGCATGAATCTGCGCAGATGATCAGAGAGGAGGAAATAGCATCTGAGGGGCTAGACGCTTGTGATCAGATCACGATCCCAAAAGGTGTCGTCTCTCCGTATGCGATTTCCTCCAACTCTACTTTGTTGTTGTTTTACGGATTTTGAAAATAAATATGACGCTTAGGAATATTAGATGTATAATGGCATAACTGTTTTATTTTAAGTTTATTAGGAGAACGGTTAGTTCTTGCATATCTGGAACGCTAGTTGTAACAGTAATTGTTCTCTTGTGGCATGTTATTTGGGAAAAGAAATAATTTAAATGAGTTTCATGCATATGTACACAAGGAAGAAACCTCAAGTGTGTGAGGTATGCACGAAGTCATTTAAACGAAAGGGTGATTTAAACAAGCATCTGCTTGTTCACACAGGAGAGAGGCCTCATGTATGTGAGGTATGTGAAAAGCCATTTTCACAAAAACCAAATTTAAAAAAGCATATGCTTATTCATACAGGAGAGAGACCGCATGTGTGTGAGGAATGTAACAGGTCATTTAAACTAAAACGCGATTTAAACGAGCATGTGCTTTTTCACAAAGGAGAAAAACCTTGTGTCTGTAAAATATGTAATATATCATTAAGACAGAAGGATAATTTAAGGAGGCATATGCTTATTCACACAGGAGAGAAACCTTATGTGTGTGAAAAATGTAATAAATCATTTAGACAAAAGAGTAACTTAAATAAACATATGTTTATCCACACAGGAGAAAAACCTCATGTGTGTGAAATATGTAAAATGTCGTTTAGACAAAAGGCTCATTTAAATGAACATATGGTTGTTCACACAGGAGAGAAACTTCATGTTTGTGAGATATGTAATAAATCATATACACAAAAGAATACTTTAAACAAACATGTACTTACTCATGCAGAAGAAAAATGTCATGTATGTGAGGTGTGTGACATGCCATTTAGACGAAAGGATTATTTGGACAAGCATATGTTAATTCACACAGGAGAAAAACCTCATGTGTGTCAGGTGTGCAACAAGTCATATAGAGAAAGGAGTTGTTTAAAGAAGCATATGCATATTCATACAGATGAGAAACCTTATCTGTGTGAGGTATGTAACAAGTCATTTGGACAAAAGACTGATTTAGATAGGCATAAACTAATTCACACAGGAGAAAAACCTCATATATGTGAGATATGTAAAAAGTCATTTAGACAAAAAGATAAATTAAAGAAGCATATATTTATTCACACAGGAGAGAAACCTCATGTGTGTATGGTATGTTGCAAATCATTTATACAAAAGACTGATTTAAAAAAGCACTTATTAATTCATATGTAACGTATTACACATATGTCTGAGGTAGATTGACCCATGCTGCTATTTATGAGCTTATAAACTACAGGTAGCATTGACTCGTATGCTATATGAAGGAGAGAGTATTTCTACCTTTTTCTACCAGCTGAAAATGAGACCTTGTCTAGCAAATGGAGATCATATTTGTTAAGATTTTAACACGCATACTAGCTGCTAAAAATATGTTTCTTTCAACAAGAGGTATTTTAAATAATGGCATGTAATCATTTCAATGAAATCTAAGGTCATTGTAATTTTTTTTCTTCTATGTACTATCAGTAACATATATATATACTGTAAGTAGGAAATACTGAATAAAATCCTAGTGTACGGTATGGCCTTGGTGAGATTTTGAAAACTGTCGACAACACCAAAATGACTCATTTACTTCTCATCACAAACATCATGTTTACTGATCATCATAATGCTGCCTAATCCCATGTATACCATGTACAAGAATTAAACTAAAATACTGTGCAGTCTCAATATGCATTAAAGAATTTTAAGTTGATTTTAGGTAATGATTCTGCATTTACTTTTCGTTTATATCCATATCCACATAGTTCGTCTTTGCCAACTGCAGTGTTGTAAAAAGGAGCAGTATCTCATACATTTAAATAGAATAAGAATAGCTGCTGGCACAGACAGTTGTCTAAAATAGTTACTATAAGAAGAGATATATAATGCTTTTAATAAATACAACTAGTAATTTGTAATAACAGACATAAAGAACTGTATCAATTTAAATTGCTGTTAATCAAGAACTGTTAGATTAAATTTGAAAGAAAAAATTAATATCTTTTGCATTGCCATATGCTAACAAACTGGGACATGAAAGACAAAAATATTTTACATCAGACAGTGATAACGTTTTTTTTTTTTTTTTTTTAATAGCTGAGTTCTTTTATTAAATTTTAAAGGCAAATAATATGCACTTTGTAGAGTGACATAGCATTTTTTTAAATCCCTCAGTTTCCTGATTGAATTTGAAATATAAGTATTTCATACTCTACACAGTGGCAACACATTGCATTTGAATTCCTACATTTGTTAATCGAGAATTCATTAAATTCACATAAAATGTGAAATAAATAAAAAAAGAAAACCCAAATTCCTGCTTTGAAGTGCATGTATTTGGGTGAAGGCATACGTTTGCCACATGTGTTTGCAAATTTGGTGGCTGTAGGCATACCACGTTTCTGCAGTTCAAGGAACATTTCATTATTTAATAATAGATGTAACATGAATAAAATGGAACAACTGAATTCAAATGATATTTAAATTTTCTGTGATTTTGATTATTATCAGTAAATTAGTGCAGCTTACAGCTCATTGTTTGGCTTCATTCTTTTGATTTCAAGCCTTACGAAAGGTCACGTAAGCAAATTCTATGTTTTCATTGTTCCTACATTACATTCTATATTCATTATTCTGTCTTCATTAAAAAGTATTACTACTTCCACCATAGTTTTCTCACTGGTTTTGTTTGAGTGCAGAAGCATTCCTGTGCAAGAAGAATTTAAGAAACATTTAAGGTAAGAAATTTTTCATCCTCTTTTTTAAATATACAGTTCAGTACAAAGTCTGGACTCATCGGGACTTCGGCAATTCCGGATTTGGGATTTTTCCGGATATTAGATTATCAGTTTAAATCTAGTAAGATGGCATGTAGAAATTATAAAATTAAAAGCTCACCAACGGCCGAGCGGTAAAGTCGTTGAACACTGGTAGTTTGGTCCGAGGTTCGAATCCCGCAAACAGGCTGGCTGCATGAGTGTTTTCATGGTTTTCCCCATGTGTAACGTATATACGAGCCAGTTTCCCTTAGAAAGTTTTCCACGTAGGCATCCCTCCCCCTTAGGCAGACAGCCCTCAAGGCTTTACCGTAATTAAATACCCTATCCTATAAAATTAAAAATATGAAATTGTGATTTATGAAATAATAAATTATTTATGATCTAAAGGATATCAAAATTTACAAAAGAAAGCTTAATATTTATTTGTTTAGCTTATTAAACATTTCTTTCAACGTAAGTTGTTTAAGCTGCTTCGATTTTTCTGCTAATACTTTCTTTTTAATTCTGTAGGCAGACATAATCTCTTGCTTAGTTACATTTTTGAAGTCCTGTAACTGCTGTTTCGAGAATTCTGACTAACTGGTCAATAAAAATTTTCTCGTTTTCAGAAACTTCTCTGTCACTTTCTTCACTATCGGTAACAGTATTTTCTTTATCTAGAACCATACTATAGATTACGCCATTTATTAATTGATTGATGATTGAGAAGCATTGTCATCACAATGAAAAACTTTTATAGGTACTTTTCCTTTTTGCCGGCGCAAGCGAAAAGTCGCCAGTAATGGTACAACCAATGCCAAACGAAATATCCTCGCTGGTAACCTTTTACTTTAACTTTTACATTTTCAAAACAAGTCGCAGCCATTTCTTATCAGATTGATTGTTTCTTTCAATACTGGAATACTATTACATAAAATTTTTACCAAATAGTTCAATTTTACGAATTGAAATAATTCTTGCATTTAACCTTGTATTCCAAATTAAGATTTAACTTGAAATTAATGTAGATAATTACCGAGAGAATTAGATTTTTGTAGCATAGTTTACGTGAGATGAGATCACTTGGGACACATGATATGAACCAGCGCAGGATATTGTACGATGAAAGCATAGTAAATTCTTAAATTAATGTCTCTTTACAAATTTATTGGCTTTTTTACGAAATTTTAAATGACATTAAAATGTTTATACCTTCAAAATAAAAAATTCTTAGACCTAATATTTATCAACATTTTTTATGTGTATACCATGTGTTTTCGCCAATAAAGTCTTCTTGGCGAGATTTGCGCCGGCGAAACAGAAAAGTACCCTTTTATATCATCTTCATTTATTACATTTCTTTACAAAATCCGTTAATTTTAAAATTTCCCCTTTGTTTTGTGATATCTGAAAACCTTTAAAATAAGTGGCTATCATCATCAAATTTAGCTATCCTTCACTATACATATTTGGTTATGTATCATGAGCTTGGCGACTAATGACAAGTTGTTCTGTTAAATTTTTTTTGCTTCTATCGCGCACTGAGACAATGAAGCCTGAATTGTATTAGTTTAGTTATGTATTATAATTTTGTCTATTCCTTGCACATGCTTAAGGCTTATCAGAGTTCTGAATATGTAAATTCCCACATGTACTTAAGCCTTATCAAGGATTGTCACTAGATAGCTTACTGCCTGATGGTCTCTGTGGGTCCTAAATTCTGCAATTTTGTGCGGCCATCCGAGCCCTGGCGCTGGTTCTGGATTTATGTGAATAACAAATCCGTTATTCTTAATTCAGATAGTCCTAAATGTAATCTTTGGGTCTATGGGTAACATCAATAAAATCTATTTTTAGCATATGGAAAGAAATTTTTGGTAAATTTTCCCCATCAACATTTTTTAGCGCATTTAACATAAATCTGTAATCATCGCCTAGCATACTGTCAACATAAAAGGTAACCATACTCTTTTATTATTCAATTACTAGCATAAAAGAATTGTTTAGGCATCGCTACATGAGTCATTACTCAAGTTGTCATATTTCAGTGATGAAAGAAAAATATAATAAATAATGGGCTAGACTGGAGATTATAGTCCAGTCGCGAAGTGAAGCAAAATTTTGCCAAATCTGGTAACCTTTTGGCTTAAATACAAATCAATGCTTTCCAATCATTTATTGCTCATTTAATGCTTATTACAATTTCTTGAATTTTGTGATAAAACGCTTTACTCCATTTTGCTACTGTCTGAAAAATGGTATATGATATTATGAAAACTTTTAATATTGTTGATCCTTTCAAATACATAGTTATTAACTTTCAAATACTGTAGTTAAAGTGCAGAATCACCCGCTTATTTGTTTGGCGCTTTTTACAAGAGTAAAATTAATTGGATTTTCGTCAATTTTCTTTGACTTTTTAAGTGAAAATAAGTCAATGTGTACGTGGATTAAGTCAAGGGTGTGCACACAGTCATTTTTGTGCAATTCTGGGATATTTCTTAAGTGAAAATAGGTCAATGTGTACATGAATACTGAGTATGTGCAATTCTTAAAAACGCGGCAAGCAGTGGGTGATTTTGCATTTCACCCTTTTTCGTTGTTTTATTTGAAGTCCTGTTTTAGATGTTTTTGCATGTTTACAGGTTGTTTAGATATTTTTGCATGTTTACATGATCTATTCTTTTGCATGTTTACAGAATTAATTCAAATTCACAACCATCTAATATGGCGACATAATGAGTTAGCAATTTTCTAAAACACGTGAAAACAATCGATTTGGCTACTTGGCAATTTTTTGAAAATGCACCAAACTGGACCGTAATATCCAATTTTACTTAAATAATGATTCGCCAGGTTGTCATCAGATCAACGATGTATCTGTGTGGAATGTTTCGGTTTGAGATGTGTGACAAAGTAGATATGCAGCAACAGAGCCAAATTACTGATCGTACAAATTTATGCTAAAATGATTGTTTCTTCAATAACAAGGTATTATTTTATTCAGTGTCGAAGTGAAATTAAGAATTTGAACTCTCCAGATGTTTTATTATGCGTGGGGTGGGGAATCAAATGTGCATGCGTAAAGCCTACGAGAAAAAACGTTGGTGGTTGCTTTGTGGTCCAGATTTTAGATCATTCTGGATAATGGACATCCGGATTTCAGACTTTTTGTACTATATAATGTCCAAGATATGTAATCATCAGTTAGAACTGGAAGGAAAGCTTGCTGTAATCCAATGGGCAGTAGAAGCCGGATTGCTGCCAAAGGCTTTCCCTTGTCCCAAATGTGGGAAAGAAATGGAACTTGCCCGACATTCAGATGGGTTTAACTGGATTTATCGGAAAACTGGAGAATGTTCCCATCACATCAAGCGATCTCTGTGAACAGGCACGTGGTTCAATGGATCAAATTTAGATATTTCAACTACAGTACGGAGTCCAAAATCCGAACTCGTCAGGACTTCGGCGATTCCGGATTTGGAATTTTTCTGGATATTAGATCATCAATTTAAATCTGGTAAGATGGCATGCAGAATTTATACAATTAAACATAAGAAATTGTAATTTATGAAATAAAGAACAATTATGATCTAAAGGGTATCAAAATGTACAAAAAAAAAAAAAAAAAAAAAAAGCTCAATATTTATTTGTTTACTTTATTAAACATTTCTTTCAATGTAAGTTCTTTAAGTTGCTTCCACAAAAATTCAAAAAGTTTCTTTTTCTTATATCATATACAGTTGACTTTCCAATGACATACTCCTCACATAATTTTGAGATGGATATGCCTTTATCCATTTTTTTACAGCAATTTCACTTTTTGTTTAGTGGACATCGAAACATGGTTTCGCTTTATAGAGCCTTTGGCAGCTTCAAAATTAGAAACTCTATTGACATAATCGAAAGTTCAAGCTTAGTTTTTATAAAATTGCTGTAATAATAACAGTCTGCAAAAAATAATAAGCTGGATCAAACTAAAAGATTAAGAAGCAGCGCAGTCTACTTACTACATTAACGGAAATGCCTTTGTTGCAACTCTCAGGGCTACAACGTGCAGGTTACAAATTAAATAATCACAGCAGGGATTATTAATATAAAGATTTAATATGATATCTAACACAAGCTGAAAACATTGCATTACTCTATCAAGTGCATACATATAACTGAGTAAAAAGGGAATTTCCCCGCTTAGTTTGCAGTTAAAGAAAAAAATAATAAGAATAATAAAAAATAGCCCAATCAAATGCAGGGCTCCTTCTGTCGACTTCGGACAGCCGTTACATAATTGTCTGTCTGCAGCAGCCGTCTCCAACATTCTTCCCCTCTTTGAGTCGACTTCAGGTTGGCTCAAAAGCATACAGTACCTGGTCGAAGAGATCTAATTTCTGAGGCACCTTGATCAACCGTCCAAATCTTGACACTTTAGTACCTTGCAGGATGTTACTAGAGTCATTTGAAGAGTCATTAGAATCTGAATGCTCATCACTAGAAATAGAAGAAATAGGATTACTAAAAGCGTTATTGTGTATGGGATCAGTGGGTGTGTCCGTTAACTGCATTTCCAATGGAAAGACTCGCTGAATGGGATGAAGCAGCATACCAGCTTGAGTCTTCAGTTCCACAGTTCTCACCTTGCCAACTTTCCCAGGAATTAGTCGAATGACCGTAGCTAAAGGCAATGCATCCGTTTTTTTATGTCATCTCCTATTAGGACAATTTCACCCAACCATAGCTCTGATGATGGATCCTTCTTATTTTGGACCAGAAGGCCTAAATATCCTAAATCTATGCCTTAAATCATTAAGTAGTTTTTGGCAATATCTAGCCCTTTTTCATTTCATTCTTAAATCATTAAGACCTTTCGAATCGCAGAAATCAACATCAGGAACACCTAAGCTACGATTCTTGATGAGAAACATGGCTGGGGAAAGTGGGATTAAATCATCCGGATTTTCCGACAGATAGGTAAGAGGTCTATTATTGACTCGCAGTCGCACAATGCTGTGTACAACTCCTCGGTTGCAAGAACCGCGTTACCGAGTGTCTTTCTCAACAGTTCCTTTACTACACGAACTAACCTCTCCCATCAGCCTCCCTACCAAACGGCTGTGGGAGGACTAAACTTCCATATTAGGCATTGTATAGCCGCTTGCCTTAAAATTTTTTCCCAATCAATGTTACTAAGTTCTCTTTGCGCTCCTCTGAAATTAGTTCCGTTGTCGGAATAAATTATTCTCAGCCTCCCCCTTCTGGCTACGAATCATCTCAATGACAACAAGAATGCATCGGTAGACAATGAGGAAGTCAATTCCAAATGAACGCCTCTATATATTGCACATGTGAACAAAACAATCCAAACTTTTTCACCTCCCTTCACATACAAGGGTCCTGCCAAATCAATCCTACCACCTCAAACACCGCTGCATCATTGACACGATCGCCTGGTAGTGGCATCGGCGCGCTGCTGGGAAACTTGGCCTTGTATCGATTGCATTTTACACATTTTTTTACGATTTTCCTGACCGCTCTTCTGCCCCTCACTATTCAAAATTGCTCGCTTAATATTCCAAGTAATATTTGGATTCCAGAGTAACAATTTTGTAAATGATAATATTCTATCAGACGCTGGGTGAAAATACACCGGTCTGGTAAAATAATTGGACAAATAAATTCAGGGTTGTCTGATCACTCTGTAATGCGTGTTTTCACCCTTTTCATACCCTCTCTGTCTGAGATGACACTCATATTGGGAATAGAGTCGGCAGAGGGAAAATACTTATTTTGTACAATTTTTATAAGAGTTTTTTCGGCGTATTTCATCTCTTGAGCAGTTAAATCTCCAGTTTCTGGAAATTCACATTTACTTTTTGCATTTTTCACAAAGTGCAATATCCATGCGACTAATCGAATGATGGATTGAAAATTCGAAAACCTAATTGCATACCAAGGTATTTCCTCTTCAACTGAATTAAGGTTACACAATCTGACCTTTTTTTTTTCTCGTTCTATCTCAGAGGTCTCGTAAGCCAAATGGTCTGGTGGCCAGTTGTTATTAGGTTTCAGGAGCCAGGATGGACCCTCCCACCAAAGAGAATCTAAAAATGAACGAGGGAACTGCCTCTTGAAAGCATATCTGCTGGGTTTAAATCACCTGGTACATGGCGCCAACACTGAGAAGGAATTAGATTGTTTATTTCTTTTACTCTATTCGCAACGAACATTGACCATTCACCACGGTTCTTAATCCACCAGACTATTACCATAGAATCACTCCATGCAATAATTTTCAAATCGGGCAAATCCAAGGCGGCGTATACTGAGTGTACGAGTCTCGCGCCAGTGCAGCAGGCCATCAATTCTAACCAGGGTATTGTCAGAGATTTTAATGGCACTACCCTGGATTTGGCTCTGATCAATCGAATTTTAACTCCCACAGGCATTACAGTTCTAATGTAGACACATGCACCATAGAAGCTCTTACATGCATCAACGAATAGATGTAGCTCTGAATTCTCATTTATCTCTACATATCGTGGAATACTAATTTTCTTAAGCTATTTAATTTCATCCTGCCACTTCTGAAAAGTTTTCTGAATGTTGTCTGGCAAGGGGTCATCCCATTTTAATTTCATAGTCCAAGCTTCCTGCAATAGAAACTTAGGTAACAAGGTAGTTGGACTCAAAAAACTCTGCGGATCAAAAATTTTATGCAGTAGCCGTCTCCAACAGCCTTAAAATCAGTAAAGATAATTTTAGCCTAGCTTAATAGCATCCGTTATACATTAATGGCTGTGTATCACAAGATTGGCGATGAAAGCTAAGTTGTTTCGCTAAATTTTGTCTCGCTCTATTGCGTACTGAATTAAGCCTGAATTGTATAAGTTTAGTTATTTACTATTACCTGTGTTTATTTCTTGCACATGCTTCAAAACTAATCCTGAGTCCTGAATAAATAAACTCCCATGTATACTTAACGGCCACTTTATCTAGGGCCAGGCGCTACTCGATACCACCTAGATGCAGTCTCTACAGGTCCTAAATTCTGCTACAAAGCGCCTTTCCTAAGTTCTAAATTTTCCCCATGCTTAAACTTTTGATCCCAGTGCTTTCCGTAAATCATAAAAACTTCCTCATCCCTTAATTTTCCCGCTCAGTGCTTCCCCAAATTCCAAAAATTTCATCTTCCCTAAATTCTGCCGTCCGGTGCTGACATATTCTGCCACCGCTTTTGGGTTTATGGTGAATAACATATCAGTTATTCTTAATTAAAATAGCATGAAATGTCATCTTTTGGCCTATGAGTTTCATTAACAAACTCTATTTTTAGCATATGAAAAGAAATTTTTGTTGAATTTTTCCTCGTCAACATTTCTTAGAAAATCTATAATCATCGCCAAGCGTAATGTTAGCATAAAAGGTTGCCATACTCTTGTTATTCAATTACTAATATAAAAAAAAAAGTTTAGATGTCACTGCATGAGTTATTACTGAAGCTGTCATATATTGATAAACATGCAGTGATGAAAGTAAAATATAATGAATAATGATTTGCCAGGTCAACGTCAGAGATGTAAAATAAGTGAATGCTTCAGTAAGCGCAGCGAACACCGGTAAATGAAATGGAACGTTTGAGATATATGCCAAGCAGATACTCAGCTGCGGAGCCAAATTAGTATTAATCTCACAAATTTATGCTTACATGATTGTTTTTCTATAACGAGGTATTTTATTTAGTGCCTAAGTGAAATTAAGAATCGTAATTTTTAAGTGAAAATCTCCACATGTTTCATTGTAGAAGAAAAAATCAAGTGTGCATGCAAAAAGTATATCAAAAAAAAAAAAAAAGAAAAGAAAAGAAAAGAAATATTTGTGGCTTTGAGGTCCGGATTTTAGATCATTTCGCATAATGGACATCCAGATTTCGGACTTTGTACTGTAGTTTGTTTGCATTTCTTCTATCTTAAGCTCTTTTTTTTTTAATATATTTTTAAATTCAAGTTTTGTTTTTACAAAGCTTTGGGCTATTTGCTCATATTTTGTTTTTGTTGTTAAATTATAACTTAAATTTTCCACTAGATTTTGATTTTTGAATTTTTAGATTTGTGATTGATATGGAGGTTTTATGAAATTTTTTATAACAGTTCATTTTTTTTTTCCTGCTTTGCCAAATTACTTTTTTGTATTTTCTAAAATTTAAACTATTCTGTTTGCTTTAGCTTTCTGGTTACTTGAATGCCAAATTATCAGGCTGTTACTGCATCACCTTGAAATACTTTTGAAATTTTGAAACACTGCTTGATATTTCATCACCGTGTACCTGCTGTAACTTGTAAATGTATTAAACTTGGCTCTTTCTGCGTGTGAAAAAGAATTTAATTGGACCT